GAGAGAGGATAGAGAGAGAGAGAGAGAGAAAGAGAAAAAGAGAGAGAAAGAGATGAATGCCGAATTTTAACGGAAATTTTATGCGTCCATTTCAAAGTATCTTCTTAGTGCCTTTCCTCTTCTCCACTATTTTACGTTTATTGATTTTGTTGACTATTAAAAATCATTTTCATACACAATTCCTTCATCACCGATGGCAGTATAATAGTACTAATATTAGTATAGTAATAGTAGTACAAATGAACAGTGCTCATCGTAATTCGCAAGCGCTTTTGGTTCACTTAAGCCATTGAGTCACTTTGCGCCAAATGTATACACATACAAATGCACACACATACATACACACATACAGACAAAACAGACATACACACACACACATACACATACACAGATGGACAGACAAACACATACACACACACACACAGATATACACATATACGCACACATATATATATGCATGCATATGTACAGTACATACCGATATACCGTACTCAAAAGAACGTTTAATAATGGCTGTAGGATGATTCGGCTCATACAATGTTCACCCACCCATTGACCAAAGTAGCCACCAGTCTCCGTCCACTAAATTTCCAAGTTCCTGGAACGTCCCTATCTTACCACTGAACTGAACAATTCAATGAGAGAACGCTCTTCACATCTGTTCATTCTTTGCTCTCTCCTTCTCTCTCTCTTTCTCTCTCTCCCTCTCTCTCTCTTCCTTTATATTTTACACATTTCATATTTTGATTTATTCCTTTCCATATGTTTGGTTATATATTGATGATAGCAATAAGATGAGATGTTAATAGGAGGAGGAAGATAGCAGTGATGATATGTGATAGAAGGATGATAAAAAGTGATTAGAAAGGATGAGCATGCTTCAAATTGTCACATTCATCTCTCTTCTCATCTTTCATATTTAAATTTAAATTTAAAGATTCACAATTTTAATTTAAACAACAACAGCAACAACAACAATAATATCTATTTTTAAGCTTATCAGTAAATCATTTTATATTAAAACATATCAGTGATAAATTGGAAAATAAGAAAGGTTAAATTGAGCAAGTTGCAAATATAAACGCCTGTCTCATTGTGTTTTCTGTATGATAATGATAAATGATAATGAAAATGTTTTAGAAACAACCAAAACGATTGACCGTTGTGCTGTTTGCGGTGATTTAGCAACTGGTTTCCATTATGAAGTTGCCAGTTGCAATGGATGGTTAGCATTTTTAGTTAATTGTATCAATTTCAATTCTTATCAGATCGATTTATCATAAAAGTCTTATCAAAATTATTAAAATTCACATTTTTCTTTAAACTTTCTTCTAGCAGTTACAGTTACTTTCTATGGCTAATCATTAAATCATTAACTAAATTACTCTACAAATAGAAAAAAAAATTTTTGAATAAATCATACATTAATGAGGTTAACAGTGTACCTTATTCCTTAAATGGAACTACTGATTCGTTATCAACAAGATAAATTTAAATTAATTGAACTCTTTTAGTTTATTCTCTTGCAAAATATTACAGATTTATTCATTTTAAATTCTCATCAAAAAGAAATAATCAACATATGCAAATATGAAATAAATATATTTTTGAGAAGAAAATACAATTCAAAATTAATAAAGTGAATGTTAATTTATTACGTAACTCTGGAATTGCACCATGATATAATGTATACGACATGTAGATGATATTGTGCGACATATAGTAATAGTCTGCGACATATGATAACACTGATTGCGAGAAATAGCTTTCCACTATGAAATTTAATTTTGCCGGACTGATTTTGCAGTAAAACATTCTTCCGACGTACTTTGGTTTCCAATCGAACTTATAAATGCCACAAAAGTGGTAATTGCACATTTGATAAAGGTACGTTTAATTCATTCACCATTCAAGCCCATTAAAAGTACATTAAAATATGGTCTAGTCATCATTGTGATCCAAACATTTGCATATCATTTTTATCACTCATCTTTCAAATTTCTGAATCATTTTTTAAAAGTTTATCTTCCATATGACATCATAGCTTTTAACTAAGCCTATTTTTCCGTAGAAGTTTGAACGAAACAAAGATTTCATGAAAATGATTTAAATTGTTTAAAGTAGTCAAATAGCAAACATTAGAGGAGTTGACACTTTAGTCCTATTCAACTTACCATTTTATTAAATATCCAGGCATGTTATGCCTCCAATCAATTTCTTTAAAAATTAATGTTTTTGGCGAAATTTCGGTAAATTTTCGAAACATAGGAATTCATTATTGCAAAAGAAAGAAAAAAGAATTTTTTCAAATTAATTTTCCAGTTAAGATTTAGAAAATCGTTTTAAAAAATTTATCATTGTGAAGGCATAATACGTGTGTGATCTACAATGTTTTAAATTTCAATTTTGATTCGATTTCAAATTATTTCAACTTTCAAATCTAATCAAATTTGATACCAACAAATTTAGATATGAGATGTGCATGTCGAGCATGCAGGTTTGATAAGTGTATCGCAGTTGGTATGAATCCAAAAGGTTATTTTTTTTTATTTTTATTTCCAATATTATTCATTTCTAATGGCCTTGAATGTATTATTATTTTGTCCCCAAACGTCAATAATCGATGATGAAATAGTTTAATAGGAATGGAATTTAGTTTTTTTTTTTGCGATTTTCGCAAAAAATGCTTTTGAAATTTCATTTCAGCAATTCAATGTAATCGTACTGGACGCATATCATCACCACAAGAAGCTCCAGCTTCATCTACCTCATCGTATGCTTCTTTTGAATCTGATATACCTCAACAACAAGTCTCTATTTCAAGTAGTGTCAAGAATGAGCTCTACTGTCTACTTCCTCAGAATGCAGATACCAATCGTAAACGTTTGTCAACAAGTCCAGATAGTGAGTCAGCATCTAAACGAGCTTACACCATTTCTGCACTTCTTGATTTCCCTAAATCTGAAGGCATATCAACTACAGATGAAAATTCTAGGTGAATTTTTTTCTTTTAGATGTTTAAATGGGCTCAAATTGATATAATATATATACCTCAACAGCAAGTCTCTATTTCAAGTAGTGTGAAGAATGAGCTCTACTGTCTACTTCTTCAGAATGTAGATACCAATCGTAAATTTTATGCCGTCTTTCAATTCACCATAGGAATGCCTGCTAGGTGATATGATACAGATGGACTGAATTGCATATGCTGTCATGCCGGAATGACAGTTTGATTTCTTACTAAAATAGCCGTTAACAAAATCAAAGTTAGAAGATGAGTGATATTGAAAGAACAGGCGGTAAGATATGTGAGATGATAAGAAATGACATGGAAAAGAAGTAAATTGGGAAAGTTAAAGAGAGGAAAGAAAGTTGCTTTTATATTATTTCTAACTGAAAGGCTAAAATTAGTGTTTGTAGATTCAGATGTTCAAAGACAAATATGGCATCATCATCAATCACTTCAAATATTACCTCTAGTATTCGTGATACCATCCGAAAGCATTGCTCCATCTCGGAGAAACATGAACAAGTTAGTCATCAGGTTTCTTTGTAAAATAAATATTTTCTATTGCTTTTGAAACTTAAGTTCACGAAATTTTAAGACGCTGTTGAACGAATTTTAATTTAACCTGTAAATGACCTGGCGATGTTCACATCAAAGATTAATTGCTGTTTCCATCGCAAAATTTTATTCAAAAATGTTTACTTTTACAGTTGATTTCGCGTCTTATTCGTGCACAAGAAATTATCAGTGAAGTGTTAGATCCGGAAAAATGTGACACTTCCATTTCGATCCTTGACTTGCTGACACGACCATCGATCGTGTCAGCTTCATCTCGGGTCAACTATGTTGATGACAAAGTAAGTCCAAAAGTGTTTCAAACGTCAAAATATCGCCAAAATGAGTAAAAAAAAAATAAGAAATTGTTTATATTCTTGCTGCTTTTTTAATGCCTGAACTTCCTGAGTATAGATTTCTTGAAGTGGAATTTTAAATCTTGCCAAAATTTTTGAACATTTTTGTGACCCGTAACTAAATGAACTCCCTTTTCCTGAACTTCTCTTTCCAGTCAATTAAAGAATTATTGACCTGTCCGAAGATTTTTTCCTTTCTGATCCTTGCCCAAAAATCTTTCCAATTAATTTTATTGTTCTTTTTAAATATACAGTTCATTAAACTGCTCTCTGTAACACTGTATTATTTAGCAACAGAAACAGTACAACAGTGGTCCGGGAGTGGTGCTAAATCAAAAGCTAGAGATTACAGTAGAATATGCCAAAACATTTGAATCATTCCAATGGATGCCAATTCAGGATAAGGTTCCTTCATTTAATTTAGACTTGTAGCAGGATGAAAAACCGTTTCTTATAACTCCTTTGTTTTATTTTGCTTATGATAATAATTGAATTATTACTTCCTTGTTATAGGTATTACTGTTACGTGATGTTGTATTTGTGTTAGTCTTATTGGAAACTGCTTACAAAAGGTCTATTTCCAAGAGCGCATCTGTACTGAATCATAGAAATCAAAGAGAAAGCCAGTAAGGTTTTTTTTGAGATCGTAATTTCAGCAAAATGAAATTGAGGGAAATATTCAAAGTGTTCAAGTTAGAACACAGTTGCTCTTCTTTCATTTGATAATTGAACAGGTCAATCGATGAAAATACCGGAATTTCAATGATAATAGAAAGTTTTAACAGAGCAAAGTTGGATAAGAAGGAGTTTTTGTTACTCAAAGCAATCGCTTTTATGCATTCTGGTATGTTTTAGCATAATGATTGCTAATTTTATCAGCCATTATCAAAATGTAGTTTAAAATACTGTGGATCATACCTATTCAGTTCCGTTTTTTTACTGTTCTATATTTATTGAAATATCACTTGAAAACCATGTAGCTGAATGACGTTTCCTGTCGAAAATCTAATTTTCAATCCAATTCTATTTCAGTAATTTTTATTCTAAATTACTATTAATTCTTCATCGTTAGAAAAATTACCAACTCTTTCTTGAAATGCCAAATTTTCGCCTCGCAAATTTTACTAAAATTAATTCAACAAAAAATTTTCAGAATGCTCTGGTTTATCACCAAACAGTTATAGGCAACTATCATGTCAACGACAGCTAATTTTGGATACCTTATTTAATTATATGATGTCCAAGTATGCTTTTATATTTTTTGCCTAAGTCTTGAAAATGTCAAGAAAAACTTCTAACTCCAAGCTTAATTAGTCATTCGCCTCAAGTTATAGACATGACAAACATGGTCCAGTACGTTTCGGTCATGCGTTATCGGTGCTTTGGTCCGTATATGAGGCAACAAATTCTTATGTGGAAAGCTTAATGGATATGGATTTAAAGCCGCTCACTACCGAGTTACTAGCTAATAAATTGCCAGAACTTCTAACATAACCTGTACATTTTGTATATGAGCCTCTCTCTTTTTTAATTCCCTTTTAATTTTATTAATTTCATCATGGTATTTCAACCAACGGTCATTCAAAGCGTGAAATATATATATATATATATATATATATATATATATATATATATATATATATATATATATATATATATATATATATATATATATA